TAAGTACCAAAGAGTCACAGTTATTAGCTAAGTAAACCAACCACATGCAGCATTGTCCTTGAGAAGCTGATATTCAGTCAGCTGGTTAAGAAATTATAATTACATGAAGTCTGAGGTGTGGGCCTTCTGCCGCTTGGTCGCTGGGACCGTGGGTTCGAATCCCACTCAAGCCATGGATGTCTGTCCGCGTTTTTCTGTGTTGTGCTGTCCTGTGTACAGGAAGAGGACTTGCGACGGGCCGATCCCTTGTCCAAGGAGTCCTACCGAATGTCTATAATCAAAGTCAACGAAGAGTTGGGACCCGCAGTGCTCAGGCACTTGAAGAGCGAATCGTTCCCAGTATCCAGTATATGAAAAAATTAAAAATCAAAATGAACAGGGGATGAACTGCTTTGACTCTTTTAGATGCTGCAGGACATTTAAGTGACATTGCAGTTCATGGTGTGTTACACATTCAATAAGAAAATGAGTCAGAATATGTATCAAAGCTGAAGATAGCCACTTTGAACATTTGTTGTAAAATATACTGCACAGTATAAGAATTTGATCATTAAAACAAATTGGTTATGTGCAACTTATTCTTGAAATTTAAATATGCAACCATTGAGAATAAGGCCCATGTTCATATGACATTTGTGACAGGAAATGGCCTTGGGGGGGTGGGGTGCGTGAGAACAATATGTAATTTTGCTTTGCCTCAGGTCTGTTTGGATTCAGTATTTTGGGTTTCCTGACTTCATCCACGTGCCTGAACCATTCAGTGATAATCCCCGCCATGTTCTAGAAGATGTACTTGAGGCCTTTCTACAAATGGGGCAAAATCCATTGATTATCTGTGCTATAATAGGTAAGTATTTTGGATGGTTATTAAAGAACAAATTATCATATCATTTCAGTAATTCTTAATTTATTATTCTGCAGCCCACGAATGTGTGGCCTTTGGTCTGGGAGAAGTCGAGAACCCCTGATTTATGTGGTCGTATGAACTCTGTGGTGAAATATGGAGCATACCACTCCAAGTTATCCGGAAAATAATTTTAACCCCATCTTTGTATTTTGGCAGGTACCGTCTTAAGTATAGCATTCTTCAACTTTGCTGGTATCAGTGTCACCAAGGAGATTTCAGCCACAACTAGAATGGTTCTTGACAGTGTGCGGACACTTTTCATTTTTGCTGTTACGGTGGCACTGGGTTGGCAGAATTTCTACTGGTTACAGGTAAAACTGATATTTTGTTAGTTTTGTTCCAAGACTTCAGATGATGATATTGATTGTGGTCTTCTGGACTTTGACACCATATGGTTTTGTAGGTAATTACCAACATTTTGGAGAAACATATCACCTCCATCATCAATTTTTTTTTTGTACCATCGGGTCGGAGCCAACCCCTGGCGACATGAACAAGCTCCCTCTGATATGGATCTGTTCATATGTTTCCTAGGCAGAAGTGGTTTGCCGTTGCCTTCTTCTGTGTGTATGGAGTAATTGTTGGGATACCACGGAGAAACCGGGGAGGCCCCGGAGGAAAACTCCGTGGTATCTGGACCATGGCCCAAGTTATAAATCTGGGCACCGCCGGGAAACAAACCCGGGACCCCAGGATTACGAGCCCAGCATTCTGACCGCTAGACCACCGTGGCCATACATCAAGGTTTAACCCCATATTTAGCTTTGAACATGGAGGCAGTATGTTCATCCAAAATGCTGGTAACCACCTACAAGTCTACTGCATGATACAACCTAAAAGACCAAAACTGACACGTTGTCTTCTTTATTTGGATGTTGAAACATTCACAGTATTTACCTCTTGCTGTACGAATTCATGTCTGGTTGGAGGATAGGTTCGGCAGGCTGTGTGCCATCGGTTTCACCAGCAGACCTTGAAATTTTAACAGGAAAGCAATCTGTGCTTGGTGACTCTGTGGGATGCATGTGTCATCACGTGATGAGGCGAAACAGATATTTTGTAAAGGTTCTTAAGGAACTCCATCATTATGAACCACGCTCATATTAATTGTTTTTATTTACTCAAAAATCGTATTCTTGTTTCAGATTATTGGGTTTATTCTGTTGGTGATTGGTATGGGTCTGTACAACAATTTGTTTGTTGTTCTTGGAGAGAAATTTGTGCAATGGAGAAACAGGAATGCGGAACACAGCGATAGGGACGTCCTCATCAGCCACCCTGCCAGTGAGCCGGGATCTGTAATAGATTGAAGGGGTGGATTAAACCCATAACTGCTCAATGTTAATATGTAGAGTATTTTAGCAGAACCAAAAGAGATCTCAATTATAGAACTATCAGTACTGAGGAAGTACAGGTAACAGTATGTGAAGCAAATGCAAGATAAGTAACAATGTTTCCCAAAGTCTTATTTTTGAATTTTAAATTTTTTTAATCATTTTCATGGCACTCACTGGGCTTCTGTTTTCAGTAGGACATTAGCATCAGTCTATTTCCAGGGATTTTCTTTCCACAGATTTTAGGGCGTAGATGGCAAACTCTCTTGCCAACTGCTACCAAATTTATGTTAGAATTTATTTGCCAGTAAGAAGTGATGCAGATATCCCCATTAGTCTATTGAAACCCTGGTGGATGTGTTGGGGTGTCTTCATATACACGTTTTTAGAGATTTTAAAATTTATGACTCGTATGAGATTTTTTTGAGCGGCGCAACTGACACTTTGACTTTTTAAGTTTGTTTTTAAGTATTTCATGCATTAAAATATCCAATAATAAGTGGTATTAATAATAAAATTCAACATTTTGTGTCTGCATCACGTTCCCTGATGGGCATGGAAGAGATTTGATGCAAGTATGATTCGGATGCAAGAACACGAATAGCAAAAGTGTGTATAACAAGATTCACCTGAACATGAATTTTATGTACAATAACAAACTTAGCTCCAGTAAATATTCAATTCTAAAGGGTTTTCACGACAGTAGTTTACACTTAAAATTATTCATTGTCGAGACTTTTTCCATCGTCTGTTCTTTAAAACCATGACGTTTCGGAGGCTGGTCCTGTCTCCGTCTTCAGGTTAGAAGAGACAGAACCAGCCTCCGAAACGTTGTGATTTTAAAGAACAGACGATGGAAAAAGTCCTGACAATGAATAATTTTAAGTCTAGTAAATATGTCTTATTTTTATAGTCTGATTATTCTACATATTTTAGTGAAATATCTTTTATTAGATTATACATTATTGTAAAATTTTAAGTTCATGTATATACTACCCGAAATCCAGAGTACATTAATGTGATGAATATATAGATATGTTATTTTATGAAGTATTTTAAGAAACTGAAATATGCCGTAAAGTTATTTTTATCAGTTGCGTAACTGCCTGAGAATAGGTCGCAGCTATTTTCTCATCTGCTGGAATTGTATAATGATATTTACAGTTCCAACTAAGGTTTGTAAACGTTTTATATGTGGATGGAATGTGGTAATCTTTAAATCGTTAGTCCTGCTGGGTAAGTAGCAGATTTTGCAAAGAAAGTCACTAATGTTGCAGGTGATGAGTTTATAAATTTAATAAGATGTTACAACCTAATATAATTGCAGTATAATTTTTATAAATACTTTTGTGCCGTGATGGAACACGTACTATCGCAAGTCCAAATTATTAATTAAGCAATAGTACAGTGAATTATTTTATAAAGAAGTTCCAGCTGTGTGTTATGCAGACTGTATTTTAGAAATAGCCAAGTGAAATTTGAGGTTCTCGCAGTGGCGAGTACGACTTCTTACCAGGTCTGACTTATTAAAGCTTGCTGATTATTGAAAGAATTTTGTTCCTGTGTTGCTGTCCGTCCAGTACTGCTGTTCGGTAACGTAACTGAAGTAATGCTTGGGCAAGAAGAATTAAAACGATGTAACCTGCGTTTAACCGGAAACTACACTTTAGATTCCGTTTGCTTGCTTGTTTGATATAAGTGTCTTCCTGTATTATTATTCATCAATTGTGAATATTTTTGTAGAGGAGGCATATCTTGGGTATTTCTTGAAGTTTATTACTGTTTATGGCTAATTTTTGCATAAGATTGTCCTTAAATCGATTCTTGTCAACATTGGCTTTCGTAGGAAATTAATACTGGGTAGTTTGAGTACCGTACAACAAATGGTTCATCTCAGAATTAATAAGATATGTCCGTTTTTCCGTATGGTTAACTTTCTGCCTGTGTTCCATACGTCTGTATTAAATAATAATTTTCTTTAATCATATGCTTAGTCTTTCCAGAAATTGGTATATTGTATCAACATTTCTGTAAGTATTTGGCCTACAAAAACAAATTGAATCAAACTGTGTTAAATAATATTTTCAGCGATATTCTGGTGTAATTTATATGTCGCATGTTCAGGATTATTTTTAATATTTTGGCATTTTGTGCAGTTGTGATTGCTATGAGAATATGCCGAGTAAAAAGGGACAAATTAAGCGTGTGGTCGTGTTTCCTTCCCTGCTGTGTTGTATTGTTAGGTAGTAATTTAAAATTGCGGTATATTTATTGTGTTGAATTTTTTGGTATTCGGTCTTATTAGAGTTTTTGTACCTTTTGTTTTAGTGCTTAAAATAAAATGCAGACTCACGATATTCATAGTCATTTAATTTTGTCTCGTTCAGCATTCATGCGCATTGATTTCAAGTGCCAAAGCATGCCACTCGTCTATTGTGAGCCGGTTGAACCCAGTTTATATCACCATAACTTGTTTTCCTATTAGGTTGTATTGCAGCTTCATATTGTGGATACAATATTGTTATTACGAGGATCGTCCACAAAGTAAGTTTCCCTGGGGCCATTTACAGAAACAAAACACAATTTCATGGAAATATTTATCGCAACAGATACAGCAAGTGTCCAGCTATTTTTCAACATATTCGCCACCGGAATTGAGACATTTGTCATACCGTGGGACCAACTTTTAATACCTGTGTCGTAGAAGTCTGCCGCCTGGGATTGGAACCACTGTGTGACAACCATCTCCGCCTCTCTGTCATTCTCAAAACGCTGACGCTGACCGGACAGGAATTTCTTGAGGTGTAGGAAAAGATGGAAATCACTGGGAGCGAGGTCCGGGCTGTAGGGTGAATGATTAAACACCTCCCAGCTGAACTCCTGCAGGAGACTTGCTGTCCGTCGAGCCGTGTGCGGCCTAGCGCTATCACTGACCGCACTTCACAGTCGGCGGGAGCTGGAATAAGAACCTCCATCTTCAACAGCTGCAACGATGCTACTGTGAGAACGCGGGAAGTGCCGTTAGTGCATGAGCCATGCTACGTCATTGCTCTATCACGTACGCACAGTCGCTTCGCGCAATATAAGGTTTGCTAGCTGTGGGACGAGTGGGAAACTTACTTTTGGGACGCGCCTCGTACTTGTTATTATTAAATTAGTCTCCGCGCAATATTTGTAAATGCATGCACAGTGCCCTCATTTACCATATATCTTGGTGTTTACAAATAACTGCGCCTCTAAACATGCAAAACAGTGTCCGTTGGCAAATTTTAACTTGGAAGTTTACTGGAAGCCAAATATAAATTATAGGCTTACAACATCAAAAAGTTTTTCTAGCACATTTTGTACACAAAAGATCCTTTCACGACGGTTCATTGCCAATGTGAATCCCGACGTTTCGGACATCCTTAATCACTGTCGACACCTTCAAGGAGAAGTTTTTTGTGAAGCAGAGGAGACCGAGTAGTCATGTATTGAAAATGGAGTCGGGATCACCGAATCATCGGCGGTCGACGCAAAACAGGTTTTGCCGCATCGTAAAAAGTTATGCATGTTATTACTGTGTGTTGTATTCTGAAATTTTATAAATGGGGGATCTGTAATAGAATTAAATTAAATGTATTTGAACCATGTATGAAGTAGGTGTGCGGGTTATATTGGACTGGTACAGACCACAATGAATTTCTTCTAAAAACGTTCATGTAGAGACCCACCACAGGAAATGTTGTCAGAAGGAAAGATTTACAACTGGTTTGTGACACGAACACACGGATATGCCCTCACGTTACACCCTTTTTTCATTATGGACGATCTTTGCCCTATGCCTTAAGACAGAGATCGTCCATCTATGCTCGCGGGTACCGAAGTGCCCAAGAAGTGTTTTCGCGTAAACTCGAGGAAGAAATCGGTTCAGTTCTTAACGCCTTGCGGTTTGTTATATTTGGGATAGGGTTAAAATATGAAACATGTTAAAATAGTGTATTAATGACTCCTTAATCGTAAAAGTAGTGGTTTAAACGCGTGTCTTTGGAGGGGGGGAGCATATAATGCCCCTTTTGAATTGAGATGGTAAGCGACCGTGCTCAACAGAGTGGTGAATGTTGTGTGATATTGATTGTTGTGAAAGTAATTAAATCGTTTGTCCTTCGGTTTTTACGGCCAAAATTTGACGTGTAACTTGAGCTTATGAAGGGCACGACGTGGCTGATCCACGGAAATCGCATGTAGGATCCATCATAGGCTCATATGAATAATGAATGAACACGAAATGTATTAGCAAGCGTGATAATAATGAGTTTTGATCATGAAAATTCTAAGGGTGGACAGGGTAGAATTGTTTCATACACTTTTTATATACAATAACAGGGATGGAGCAATTGATTCATTGCGTTTTGGACTCGAATTTGAAAGCCGTCTAAAGACTTGTTTCCTTCAGACAGTTTAGTATCTTTATCATTATTTTCCCTTTTATTCTCTACCATGCCTTTTTGATATTTTTCTTTCATGGAAAGTTTTGGTACATTTTCCATTACTTATTACATTTATTTCACGGAAACTTTGTAATAACGATCGAAAATATTTTGTTTCGTGACAAATCTGAAGGAGAGTATTACTTAAAACGGGTCTTGCAAGTAGGAATGCCCGCTCGTAAATGTTAGTTGTTCGTTCTTGTGTAATTCCTATTTTGTCTTGTACATCCTGCACTTTGACCATTATTGATTTGACTTTTGTGTCACACATGAATGTGTAATGCTCGTATGACATGATGATTAATCTGACGTCTGTGTTCTATTTTTTATTACCCGTAGTGTTTTTTATATGAAACAGAAAAATGACGGCAGGCTAATTGTGTCTATATTTTCCGTTTCGTGGTAATGTTTGTATAACTACTGTAGGAAATATTTTGAAATTTGGAACACTGATTACAATTATGGGCGATATAAACATTTCGTATAAAATTTTTTGGCGTGTTGGAAATAATAATACCGCGCGGATACTTGGAAACTGCCAGTTATTGAACGTTTAGGCATTTAATTGTAAACTTTTAACGTTCCTGACATCTGTAACTTCTGAAGATATTTTACATAGAATCGACGTGTTTAAATAAACACAGGCCTCATAATTTGTTCCCAGAACATGTGTACTTTCGTGGCCGTGGTTGGAATAGGCCTTGTGAGAAAATGGCGTGACTAAGAATTGGTTCCGTTCAGGAGGCATTGTCCATACTGGACTGTTCATAGTAATTTACACCACTACTCAATATAATACAGAGTGAGAAACGCAACCCAGCAACAGTCACGATGAAATCAAGAAACCTCCATGACACTCGCGTAAAAATTGCCCTTCTTGCTAAGCCGCTGCTTGTCGCCATTTGTGCAAAAGGTGTGAATATGGCGTATTCTCGAGCATTATTTCACATCGAAATCGTTTTCTACTCTTGAAGAATTTAGCAATTCTTGACAAGGAAGTATCGAATAAGACAATACTTTCACTGGTAACAAAATTTCGGGACACACTGCTTTTCTGCAGTAGTGCTTTGGTGAGCGCGTTGTTTGGCGTGGTCTTTGGTCACCGTGATCTCCAGACCTTAACTTCTTTCTGTGGGGATTTCTCGAAGAAATAATTTTTTCGAATGACCCTCGATGGTGAGTAGGAAAATTGCTATTTTCTGGGTTGTAGCACTGTGTAGTGTGGTAAAAGTTTATCGACGTTTAAAAGTCCTTGCTGCCTCTATCATCAGGGCGCTACAACCCAGAAGGTAGCCATCTTCGAACATACACAGGCTATATACCTTAACTCATAACTGCTCTGAACTGAGTATTGATTATTAATTGATGTGAAGTGGAACAAATATAGGACATATGAAATACATGTTCCATCCATCATCTGTACAGAATCGAATATGGTGCGGAAAGGTAAGATAATTAGCGCAGCCCAAGTAAACATCGATTTTTTTCATACGTGCTGGAACAGAAAGTGAAGTTTGCTTTTATCGAAATTACACCTGTAACAAACACGCTTTCTTGGTCGTTTAAATATAACGAGGACATGTTTTATTTTCCTGCACTGGGGCCGCCAAACGAGAATAGGAATCTTTACTCAATTTTATAGTATTCTTATTTTCCGAATGCGATTCGTGCACAAAAACACATTTACAACAGTAATTTTTAACTATATCCACACAACTGCACTGTTTTACGAATAATTTTAGCGGCAGTTGCTTTTAACACTTAGCGGTGAGTCATGGCAGTTGCGTTTGGATTTAACATTGAACTCAACGCACTTCCTTCCTTCTTTGTTATTAGAGGTTATGGGACGTGTGCCTAATGGCCGATTTCCTGTTATTCACACACCGCGTAGAAACATGGCACGCCATGGGTTGGAAATAGGTGTGCCTACTGTT